TTTTTTAAAGATTTTATTTATTTGACAGAGAGATGGAGAGCACGAGTAGGCAGGGAGGCAGGCAGAGGGAGAGGGAGAAGCAGGCTCCCTGCCGAGCAGGGAGCCCGATGCGGGACTCGATCCCAGGACCCTGGGATCATGACCTGAGCTGAACGCAGCCGCTTAACCGACTGAGCCACCCAGGTGCCCCTTAACATATAATGTATTATTTGTTTCAGAGGTACAGGAAGCACACTTTTAAGACACCCACTGTCACCCCAGCTTTCCGAAACCTTGTTGTGAAGGACTTTATTCCTGATCTAGCAGATAAGACAGCTGAAAGAATTTGGTATATATTCTTGTGGACAGGTACCCTGAGGACAATTTTAAAGACTGTTCTCTCTCTTTCTGAGTAATTCTTCTTGAAAGAGTTAAGTCATTTTACTTGGAAAAACCATTTAACCATTAATCATTCATTGATTTTATATAATTTTCATAACTGATCAAAAACACCGATTTCATTGCTTTTTTTCAAGTCTTTGACTTAAGTATGCTGAGAAAATAGACTTAAAGTTCTAAATTTGACTGGGCTTGTATTTTTAAAAATTGTTTTAATGCTTTTTACTCAGTGAAGAGAAAAAAAAATCAGTAAACGCTTTTTAAAAATTCACAGTTAAAACTGAAACAAGCCCAAGAAGTGATTATATTTGCATAACTTGATCTGTATTTGGAAGAAAATTCCACTGAAGACAACAATGGAAGCTTATCAAATCAGAATTTCACATAGATTTTCCATAGCCCTTCTAATGAATACTGACTCATTGGTCAGCTATGGTGGAAATTTAATGGAGCTCTAAGATAGGAAATGTACACATCGGAGTGTGTTCAGTGGTTCCATGACGTCAGTGTGAAAACTGCATGAGGCATCCAGGCCCTCCACTGCTTTCTGAGACCACTGCTGGAGCACTGTAGTTGCGAATTCTTTAGCATTTTGATTGGGGCCAGACCCTGCCACTGAATTAAAACCCTTTTCATTTTGCCGTAGTCATGAAAAATTTGGACTTTATGTCAAATTGGGATTTTGGGGCTACTAATTTGGTTTTCTATTTTTTCCAAAGTGGCAAATAACCTGCAACAGAATCTTCTCAAAGAAATGATAACTGATGGGGTGCACTCTCAGACAGAACTGAAGGTACTGGTATCTTATATGAAGTTGAATCTCTAGAGGATCCAATACTGTCAGTGGCCCTGGAAAGGACATCTTCAGTGTAAAAGTCTGAGGAAAGCCTGATTCAAAGCAAGTGCTAGTTCGACCCCCAAATGTTTACATTCTAAGAATTTTCCACTTCATTAGTGATATGTATGTTCATGCTTCATAAAATTTCACCTTCCACAATTGGTTCAAAATGCCAGATGATTCTTGTGTTAAGTTCTCCTGCTTGAAAATGGACTGAAATGGGTAGGTCAGACAGTTATTATAGCCCATCTAAATAATTCTTTTGCTAAGTATTGCTGAAAATATTAAGATCCGTTTTGCCCTGTTCCTGAGAAATGACTGGGTATTAAATAACCTTTTGACTCCCATAAGGATCAGTCTTTTAGTTTTGTTCTCAGAATTTATCTTAGAAGGGTATCTTAGCCCTTTTTCAAATTTCTTCTTGTATTTAATTTTCAAGATATATCCATCCGTTAGAAAATTTTAAAAAAAGGAAAAAATGGACTTGATGCAAATGGTTTCTTGTTAGGAAAATAATGCATTTTACCTGTGTAATTTACAAGTGATTTCCAGTTATAGAAATCTACTTTATCATGGGTCCTATGTATCCATTCATTCTTTCTCATCCCCTTGGTGCCGTAAGAGAAATAACGGTAGTGAATAATAATAGCATTAAGAGCAGAGAACATTTATTGAATACTTATGTTCCAGAAACTCTATTAAATGCTTTACATGGATTATCTCATGTTTCTCTCAATGGCTCTCTCAGTAGTGGGTGTAAGTATCCCCATTTAACAGATGAGATATCTGATCTTCAGAGAGGTCATAACTTGTTCAATGTCAACATGAGTGAGTGGTAGAACCAAGGTCTGAATTCTGATTAGTCTTAGTGCCAGAGTCTATATTTTTCTATTGTGGTGGCTAGGGTAGTCTAGAATATTTTGTTCTTTACTTTAAATACATTTGCAAAAGTACCTACTTATTTCAATTTAGATTGAGCTTTTAGTTCCCCAGCTCCCAAATCCATAAATTTTCATCACGCTAGTTTGTGCACACGTTAGGTGTGCACCTGTATTGTCCAGGCACATGGTGACATGGGTTCATTCTAATGGGCCACTAGGATACCTTCCTCTGCTCCCTGGGGCAGAGCCCAGCTCCACTGAAGGCAAAACTAGGTATTGTTTTCAATGATACTGTGCTGCAAACTTTATTTTCTCAGGATTAGTTTTCTGGACAACAGTTTTGTTTTGTTTTGTTTTTTCCTTTGTTGTAGAGCAGAACATTCAATAAGCAACCTAAAAAGAATAAAATATCCTAATATTTCTTTAGAGGTGAATAGCTATGGACAAAGAGGCATATTCATTTATCACTGTTACAGTAAAAGTACAAAACATCCTATACCTTTAATAAGTCCCTTTTCTTGCAGAGTTTTCAGGGAAGGTCTTCGGGTGATAAACTTCTTTAATCTGCTTTTAACTCGGTTTTTGTCACTTGTATCGGAAGCACTATGATGCAGTCTGAACACTGGAGATTAAAAAAAAGATTTTGGTAAGTTTCTCCTTTATGATTATTACTTTATTCAAATACGAATAGAAAGCAGTAGTTATGGAAATGCCGGAATTAATAGCTCAAGCCCGTCTGTTTAGACAGAGTATGAGTAAAAATTTTCCTGTATGAAAATATTACCTCTGTTGCCACATGAATGGCAATGAGAATATGGTTAGTTCTATATATTCACAATTTATTTTCACTTTCATTTGCTCAGATTTAACATGATAACCTTTATCTGCATATTCCACCTATCTGTATCCATACACAGAATTAAGGTCAAAGAAAAATTCATCTAAATTAAAGGAAAAAACTCTTAGAATTGTTCATTTCAACTAATTATGATTCTATACTGCCTGTAGGTAATTCAGGCATTTTCAAACATCCTGCTGGCCCAAATAATTTTGCCAATCTTCTTTTTTATGTTAACTCAAAGTGATTTCTTTTTCTGAAGCAGATATTTCTTATTTTCTTTGATGTGAAATTACCACCAGTTCTAGGTAAAACTCTGAAACAAATTTGCCTCAGACTTTTTCCATATCTTCACTGGTCCCCTATCCTCAGCTTCCCATCCTAAGCTCTATCTTCAAACTTAGGTGTGTGTCAAATTCATTCCTGAACAAATATTAGCTGAATGTTTACTGATCATCAGGCTCCACGCTAAAGGCTGTGAATTCCATGATGAACATAACACTTAAAGTCTGGACCTTCATTAAGTACTGAGTCTAAATACATTCAAGGTATCTTATTATTAGTGACTGGTAAGAATTCCTTGTCTCTATAAGATAAATAGATCTCGACAGGGCCCTCCCTTTTCTTAACCCAATTGTTGACATAATGGGAGGATTGGGGGCACTTTCTTAAGTATGTAGAGACTCTTTTCCTCTCAAATCATATTTTAGAATAAACCAATCATTCAATTGGGTTAACAATAATGTATGTAAAATATATTGAGACCTTATTACATTCTTGATACTTTCCTAAGCATCTAACGTGAATTAACTTAATTCTACTGCAATATAAGCTCCCTGTGGGCAGGGATTTTTGTAAACTTGTATGAATGTTGTTCACTAATGTCTCCCCAATACCTCAAACATTGTTTAGCATGCAATGTAAATGTTCACTCAATATTTGTTGGATCAACTCTCACAATGATCTTTTGAGGTATGTAAAATAATTCTACCCATTTTAGAGATGAAGAAGCTGAGACAAAGAGGTTAAGTAACTTGTCCAAAGTCAAGGTTGGATATGGGAACAGTCTCATAAGAATTTTATCTGGTATTCTTATTTATTGGAGTATTGGTGAAAGAATGGAAAGTGAAAAAAAAAATATCAAGAGCTCAGTAGCTAGGGGGTGTAAAACATTTGCTAAGTTATTGTTGTATGAGAGCTAAACATGAACCATCCTAGCCCCTTCTGAGGATCTCAGAAGAAAAAAAAGAGAGACAGGAGAGACGTGCAAATGGAAGAAAATAAATTGCCTGAATTAGAGGACTTGAAGTCAAATGTTCCTTACGGGGTCTCCAAAGAACCCACGAAAGTGCCTCCAGGAAAATGTCTGCTATAAAAGTCTACCTGGCCCAGAGTGTGAGAAACCTTTTTATGGTGGTCAAATAAGAACATTTTGCATCCTCCTGCCCCTAGCTTTGACCACAAAGTAGTTGCGAACATGTCAGCAAGATGGGGATTTGGGGTAAAGTGTAAAGCTAAGGACAGAAAGAGGAAAACATCTTGCCTTCCTCTCAGCTAGCTGAAGAGTAGAGTTTTAATTTAATTTAATTAATTTATTTGTTTGAGAGAGAGAGACAGAGACAGCAAGAGAGAGCATGAGTGGGGAGGAGAGGAAGAAGCAGGCTTCCCCCTGAGCAGGGAGCCTGATGTAGTGTTCCATCCCAGGACCCTGGGACCATGACCTGAGCTGAAGGCAGACGCTTAACCGACTGAGCCAACAGACACCCCTGGAATTTTAGTTTTAAATTAAGTTCAGAGTCTTGTTTATCACATGGGATTAGGTACTATTAAATAGTGAATTGAGATAATTCTTGCCAGTTACCTGGACCATAATATTTTCTATTACCTTAAAGCATGGTTCTAAATCCTGGCACTATTGACATTTTAAGCCAGACAATTCTTTATTGTAATAGGGGGCTGTCCTGTGCAGAATGAGTACGATGTTGAGAAACCTTTCAGGCTTCTATTCACAATAGGCCAGTAGGACCCCCTCCTCATTATGACAATCAAAAATGTCTCTAGACATTGCCAAATGTCTCCTTGGAGGGGGTGGAGGGGAAATTGCTCCCTGTTGAGGATCACCGCCTTAAACTAAAAAGTTACAGGATCTGTTTAAGTTCTCATTTACTGGTGATGGAAGGTCTACTCACACACTGAGAAAATGTAAAGAAACTGTGAAAGCAAAAAAAAAAGGAAAAAAGTATTCTTTTAATAATATATCTCTTTACAAATTATATATATATATATATATATATAGTGGGTGTATATAGTAAATACTGTATATATATTTATATTATATTTTATATATAAAACATACATATCTGATCTATCATCTATCTGGTATCTATCTGCTATAATATATATAGTATAGACAGTATAAAGTATATATAATATATAGTAAATAGTAAATAGCATATACAAATAGTATATATATTTACATGTTACATTTATATTATGTATATATATATTATATATATATATAGAAAACATATATATCTAATCTATCATCTACCTAGTATCTAACTGCTATCTATATAGTAAAGGAATTGGTTATAAAAGTACAACCACTATCATGGGAGGAGGCTCAATGGGTCTATCACTTGAAGAGGCTGGGAACCACTGCTGTAGACCAGAGATTGCCAACTGGCATACCAGTGTTATAGGCTTAGAGTTACAGATTCCCTCAGCACTCAAGGTAATTGAGTAGGAACAATGCAGCCTGAGCCCCGGGGGCAGCTGCTGTTGGCTATGAGCCATCCTACCCATTCACTCCAGTGGGCTATACAAATATTATTTCCATGTGTATCTGAACTTAAAATTAAGAAGCACTGCTTTAGACCTGTGCTGTCCAACATGGTAGCCACTAGTCACTTGGGGTTGATGGGCACTTGAAATGCAGTCTGTGCCAGAGGTTGAAATAATAATGTTTTAGATATTGTTGGTAAATAAATATATTATTAAAATTAATATATTATTAGAACATATTTCCTGTTGCTTCTTAAAACGTGACTACGAGAAGATTTTAAATTACACATGTGGCTCACATTATATTTCTGGACAGTGATACTAGATGATGAAAAAATAAACAAACACAAATTGACTACCTCGTATATACATGGCAGTGCTGGATTTAACTATTTTGGATAAAAATGCATATGGCTGATGTAATTATAATACGGCAGGGTGTGAAGTACATGACTTAGGGATCTTAGATGAGGAATTGACCTCAGATCATTTTGGGAAAACAGCAAGTGCCCTGAGAACCCGTGCAAGCAACAAATGCTTTTATAGGACCATGACTATCAGGCATTAACCGATTCAAAATTGTATGATTGAAAGAGTCATTCTGAGCATCTTAATATACTACGCATATACTGTGGATATACTATCATATCCTAACAATTTTTATCTGGGTCCAGTCACTGCAGTGACCACTAGTTGTATATGATCTGCTTCACAGGATCGCTCTATCAAAGCCCCATGGTCTGGGTTCTGGGATTGGAGGCTGAAGAAACAAACACTTAACATCCTGCAGAAAAAAAATCATCCTCAGGGTAATTTTGGTCTCAAGTCTGCTTTTGAAATAATATGGCCTAAACAATCTAAATTTTCACAGGTTACCAAAGGTAATATTTTCTGTTTCTAGTCTCACCTCAAAATCTTGTCACTTTCCATGACAGAATGCCAAGAAATACAGAATCAAAGGATGCATTTTTCTTGCCTCTTTAGAGCTAGTTAAAATGATGTGATCAGAAAATACAAACAGTATAGATGCAAGATTATGAAAATAATTCTATAGTGAGTTATATCTTTCAGAATCCGTTAGGTACTCTGGTGATAGTATTCTTAATTTTATATATATATATATTATATTTGTATATTATATAATTTTAAATGTATAAAGTATAAAAATATTAAAATACGAAAGTATATATTATATATAAACATAAAATATATTTTTATATTTTATGTTTTGTATGTTTTATATATTATTATATACTTATATATAAATAGATATTGAAACATATATATGAATAAATATATATTTAAAAATATAGAAACATTTAATGGAAATATTTACATAATTGTATAAATATATATTTATATATTATGTTTGTATGTTTTATATATTTACCTTTATAATATATATAAAATATATAAAACACTTATGAAATATATGCAAAATATTTTATATATAAAATATAAAACATATATACTGTTTTCAATACCATCATCTGGCTCTACATGTGAGACATACATGTAAGGTACATTGGTTTTCCAAAGAACATGAAAAAGTATTTTTAAATGCTTTGTCTTATTTCCTTCTAACAAACACTGAGAAAGTAGCAGGGTCTTGGGTGTGATCACACTGGTTTTAACACAGGCCAACTCTCCAAAGTGGCCTCTAATGATGACTTTCCTGGAGACAGACTAGGGTGTCCACTTCTATTTCCTGATGCCATAAATAATTATCCTTGAATGACAAGTCAAATTACAAGACTTTTACCATCATTCATTCCACTCATTTTGTTCTAAGAAGAGTAATGCAGAAGTTAAAGTCAATAGATGACTATAATATATGGCATACTTTTTATTAAGCAAATAACTTGAAAGCGCTATAAACACGAACTCAAAATGTAAAAAGCACATGGTTATAAAGCAAAGTCCATCATGGGGTCCCTGTAAACAGCAGTAAAAGTCTTTGAATATTGTGGTTTACAAATCTGATTTTTACAGCCAAACTT